TAAGAAATAAATAATAAAAGCAAAAGTTGAAAATAAAATGATGAGCTAAATTAACAAAGAAAAAAAGCACAATAAAAAGAAAAAGAGCTTTATTGTTTTTAATTAGTTTTTATAATTTAAAATATCACAATCCAAAACAAATAAACTGTTTTTACGAAAGTTTAAGTGTCAAATTTGAGAGATTAATGCAATTTGCTAAAGCAGAACCTAAGCCTGATGCACCCATTGCACCAATTATATTCCAACTTTTTAAATATTGAAGAAAAAAATATATCATTAAATAGTTAATTAGAAGGAAAAAATGAAGAAAAAATATGAAATAATAAGAAATAAATAATAAAAGCAAAAGTTGAAAATAAAATGATGAGCTAAATTAACAAAGAAAGAACAAAAAAAAGCAAGCACAATAAAAAGAAAAAGAAAAAAGAGCTTTATTGTTTTTAATTAGTTTTTATAATTTAAAATATCACAATCCAAAACAAATAAACTGTTTTTACGAAAGTTCAAGTGTCAAATTTGAGAGATTAATGCAATTTGCTAAAGCAGAACCTAAGCCTGATGCACCCATTGCACCAATTTTATTCCAACTTTTTAAATATTGAAGAAAAAATATATCATTAAATAGTTAATTAAAGGAAAAAATGAAGAAAAAATATGAAATAATAAGAAATAAATAATAAAAGCAAAAGTTGAAAATAAAATGATGAGCTAAATTAACAAAGAAAGAACAAAAAAAAGCAAGCACAATAAAAAAAAAAGAAAAAAGAGCTTTATTGTTTTTAATTAGTTTTTATAATTTAAAATATCACAATCCAAAACAAATAAACTGTTTTTACGAAAGTTTAAGTGTCAAATTTGAGAGATTAATGCAATTTGCTAAAGCAGAACCTAAGCCTGATGCACCCATTGCACCAATTTTATTCCAACTTTTTAAATATTGAAGAAAAAATATATCATTAAATAGTTAATTAAAGGAAAAAATGAAGAAAAAATATGAAATAATAAGAAATAAATAATAAAAGCAAAAGTTGAAAATAAAATGATGAGCTAAATTAACAAAGAAAGAACAAAAAAAAGCAAGCACAATAAAAAGAAAAAGAAAAAAGAGCTTTATTGTTTTTAATTAGTTTTTATAATTTAAAATATCACAATCCAAAACAAATAAACTGTTTTTACGAAAGTTCAAGTGTCAAATTTGAGAGATTAATGCAATTTGCTAAAGCAGAACCTAAGTCTGATGCACCTTCATCACCAATTTAATTTTCACTTTTTAAATATTGAAGAAAAAATATATCATTAAATAGTTAATTAAAGGAAAAAATGAAGAAAAAATATATCATACAAATTTACAAAAAGCGAGTTTTATATACCAGTTTTTGCATTTTATAAAATTAAAATTTTAAATATTTTTTATGAATTTTTTTCTATCCATCCTAGGTTTTCAAAATTCATTTTTTTCAAAAAAAAGATATGTTATGCTTTCTAAAAATTAGCTTTATTATATAAATTTATTAAGATATAAATTATATAGGTATTTCACTATAGTTAATTAGGAGGAAAAATTTATAAAAAATATGAAATAATAAGATTAATTAATAATTAATAAATTTAACAAAGAATGAAAAATTAAAAATCATAATATAAAGAAAAAGGAAAACAAATCAAATAAATTAAAAGAACTATAATATTTTAAATTAACTTTTATAATTAAAAATATTATAATTTAAAAAGAATAAATAGCTTTTATTAAGTGTAAGTAAGTTTTAATAGCAAAAAATGAAGAATATATATCAAATATTAAAAAATGAATAATAAATAATTAATTAAAAATTGAAACTAAATTAAGTTAAAATATAAAAAATTTTAGTTTTAATAAAATTCAATAAATAATGATAAAAATTAAATAAAAATTATTTATTTAAATATATAAAAAATATTAATAATAAAAAAAATAAAATTAATTAATAAAATTTACCTCAGATTAATATGGAGAACCTTATGAGATAAAAGTGAAGAGCTTTTAAACTTTTTTTATTAATAAATATTAATTTAAAGAATGTTAATAAAAAAATTAATAATTACTTCTTCTAAATTATTATATTTTTTAATCTATTATATCATTTATTTTTTTTCTCAAAAATATTGAATAGCAATTTATGAAATTTAATTAATTAATTAATTAATTTTATAATAAATGATTAAAAAGAACAAATAAATAAATATAATAATTAATTAATTAATTATCAAATATTAATTTATATATTTGGTTTTATGAAGAGATTTCACATAAAATTAATTTAATATTCACTATATAAACTTAATATCTGTATTTAAAACATATATTTAAAAATGTATATAGTAGGAATTACAGTTAGATAGTTATTTATTTAGTCTTATTTGAAAAAAACCTAATAGTTAATGTTCTTAAATATTATAAAAGTAATGTTTATAAGTAGATATTTCTCTTTTAGTTCTGTAATTTTAAGAATATTTATAATATCTCTAAGTTTTACAAGATGTCTTACAAAAATTTCATGGTTTGCATGCCACTTATTATGAAATATTTTTTTTATTTATTAAAAAATCTGATTTAAATACCGTAAATCCTCATAAATTCTCACCAGCATAAATTTTCACCATATTTTCTGAATATTTATAATATATTACTTAAATTTGTTAAAACAAACATGCGAGAAATTTAGATGGAAAAATTACAATCAATTTAAATAAGTGAGATCTGTCTTTTATTAGAATTTGAATGGAAATTAATAATAACTTTTTTTAGTTTAACTTTGATTTTTAAATTGTAATTCTTTTATAATTAATTAAGAGGAAAATAGCTAATAAAGATTTTTTGATACTTATTTTGAATTAAAAGATATTTCAAAGAAGAATACTAATTAACAACTAACTAAAAAGAAAAATTAATGATTTTATATTCGAAGTAGTATCAATTAAACAAAATTTGTTTATAAATAAATATTTTAGCGTAATTATTTTAATTATCTATTTAATCACTAAAAATATATATCAAATTTTTTAATTTATTTTTATGATTATTATTAAAAAGGTTATCAATTGTTTTATTTGATTTTTAGAAAATAATGACAAACCAATATTTTATTCTATGAATTTTTTATTAATCATAAAATATCAAAAGTTTTAATTTATTTAGACTTTTGTGAATTAAAAATAAACAAAAGTGAAGTTTTTTGTATAATAATTAATTAAAAAATAGAAACAATAAAAGAAAAGAAAGTGATAAAAATTAAATTAATTAAGAAATGAATTTTACCTTTATTTATCTTTTAATTTTGAATTTATTTTTGCTTTAAATAAAATGCAAAATTGTATAATTTTACAATAGAATTGGAGAAAACGAATGTGATGCTAAAATTATATTACAATTATAATAGCAAAATATTTCTTTTTCTTGCGAAGGAGATGAAATAATAATTTAAAATTAAGATTAAATTAACTTAGAATTAGAATTGAGAAACTAAAATATTTCTTCTTCTTTAACAATAAGAAATATTAAAGCTGTTGAGATAAATTATATAATTTTAGAAAATATATCAATTAAGTTACTGGAATATTTTATAAAATTTTACTAAGTTGAATATCTAAATATTCAAAATATTAACATATCTAATCATTCTGATAACAATTTTAGTAATTATCTAATTTAATCATAAGATATTAATTAGCTTATAATGGATTAAGTAACAATAAAGGATAATCATAGTCACTCTACACTTTCAATATTTTCTGAGAATCTAACAATTTCTTAAATTACTTTTGAAAACTCTGAAATGTGCTAACTTTATTTATAGGGAAATAATAAGTTAACAATAAGTAATATTGAGATATCACTAAATTAAAATTATTACGAGTCTTTAAAATGCAATTATGATTTAGTTTATAGTTCTAAATCTGAAATAATTGTTTAGAATATTAATATTTAGGCCTTTTAACATGCAATATTACCTATAGATAATGAAGTTAATCATTTTGCTCACTTTAAGATCATTGAAAGTTAGTTTGAAAATAAAAGAATAGAAATTGGTTTGATATCTTTTAAGTCCTCTTTTATTGGTTTTAATCAAATAGGTATTATATAATTAGGAAACTCAGATGTTTAAAAAGTAGATATTTTGATTAAATAAATAAATCATGAGTAAGTTAACAGCATAGGCTATCTACAACTATAAATTAATAATGTTTAAACATGTTAAATAAATTAATTAAATGTGGTAGGATTTGGAAATTCTTTTTCTATTAATGAAGAAATAAGTTTAATTAGATTTTTAAATGTAAATTTCTTTGTTATAAATGAATTGATAGCCATATAAAGTGGTGTTGAATTAAATGGATAGATTATACAAGGTTAGTATGGTTAATTTTTTGCATTAAACAGTATGCAAATAAAATCATAAAGCATATATTCTAGCTTGATAAACCTATTTAATATCTAAAATGTTACAATACAGAAATTAGACATAAGTAATGTATAATTTTAAGATTTTTTAATAAAAGCTAATCAAATTTAAGTTTTTCAGCTAGAAGAAGCTAAAATAGAAGGATGTTCGATAACTCAAACCTCTTTGTTTAAGCTATAAAATATAATTAAAAGTGTGCTTTAGAAAATTTAAATTAGTAAAGTGAATACATTTATCAAGTATTTAAACATAGCCATTTTCTATATTAATTTAGATACTAATCAAGCATAAAATAAAATATTTTTCTCATAAATAGAAGCAGATTTGTTATTTGAAAATAGCATATAATTTTTAATTATGAATGGATCGTAATTTAGCTTTGAAATGAGTGATTCCTAAATTGCTAATGGATCTTCTATAGATTTTGGTGGTTGCTTAGATTTCTTTATTTCTTAATATAGTAATTAAAACACAGATATAAAAATTTATAATTCTACCTTTAAGAAATGCAAAAGTTAATATCTAGGTGGAGCTATTTCAGGAATTCGAGATATTATTACATTAGAAAATGTTAATTTCATTGAGTGCAGTAGCTAAATAGGAGGCGCTATATACTCTATTCCTATTATAAAATTTACTTTATCTGATAAGTATTTTTCTTAAAACAAAGGTTATTTAGCTGCTAATAATTATAATTAAAAAAAAATATAATTAAATATGCTAGATATATTAGAATTTAATTAAAACAGCAACAATGATACTGATTTATTTTAAAAAACAGATGAGTATTTATATCCAGGATTGACTTATATTTTAAGACTCTATATTACTGTAGATGGTGAGGATTACTATACCTTCACTAATCAAAACAATTTTGGCAATCTTTATAAATATATATTTAAACCTTCAAATAACTTCATATCAAATACCCCACAGTAATTACTTTCTATAAACTTTCCATTCTTACTCTGGTATGCCTAAGATATCTCTTTTAATGGAAAATAAACAGCTTAATTTGAATCATTTAGCATTTAATTCGTAAGCAGTTTCTACTTAGATACAAATTAGTATAAAATATATAATGGCTGTAAAGAGTAAGGAATGGAAAAAATTTACTTAAATAATTAGAAAAATTTATAATTTATTTGTAAATACTGCCAGCAAATGAAGGTTAGCTATCATGGAGTATGTCAAAACTGTCCAACTGATTATTTCTTAAACTGTTATGGAAATTATTCTGAATTAAAATAATTTTATTGGAGATCCTTTTATTCAGTTAATCCAGATGATATATTTTATTGTTCCAATAACCCACAAAGTTGCTCAGGAGGTAATTTAAATAAATAATATTAAAATATTACTTTTAAAAATTTTTAGCATTGAATTGCAAAGATTACAAATTTAACTCTTAACTTTTAATATTAAAATTTCTTTACAAACGTATTTATAATTTTATTAAAAAGGCAGCGGAATAGGTAATTAGCTTTGTTATGAAGGTCATATTGGACCTTAGTGTTTGGATTGTGATATTAATGGAAGCTATTGGGGTGAAAGGTATTCTATGGTTGGATTCTTTTAATGTGTAAAGTGTAGTTCGATTACTTCTAATACAGCAAAAATATCAATACTAATTTTAATTTTAATTATCAGTCTTGTCTTTATCTTATTATCAACATTTAAAAGACTAAAAAATGAAATCTATGCTTTTTATCTAAATAAATTGGGTATCTTTTATATAGGCAAGACGTTGTAATAGAATTCTCTAACTTCAACTTACATCAAAATTTTACTATTTCATATTTAAGTGTTTATAATATCAAATTAATTTACAAGAGTGAATATAATTTCTACCTTCTTTCAATTTTAGTTCTTGTTTTATAATCCTTTAAGCTCTCCATTCTTCTCTTTAAATTGCTTGATCTCTTAGTATAAATCATAATAGATTAGTCTGGGATTTTCAGATCTTCTCCTCACATTTATGATTCCTATTTTAGTTTGCTCAGCTACAATTTTGGTTTCAATAATAGTCTTTTTTTTGAAAAAAAGATTATTTAGAAGAAGTCTATATGCATCTCTCCTCACCTTCATATATATTTTCATTATAGCCTTTTACTCTACTCTTTTAGAAAAAAGTATATCAAGTTTCTTTTGTCTAAATCTTGATAAAAATAAATCTTATTCGCTAATTGACCTTAGCTTAGAGTGCAGTAATTCTTCAGAGCTCAAAAAGATACAAATACTAAGTCTAGTCATACTAATTTTATGGTTAATAATTTTTCCTACTATTATTTTTTTGAAGCTTATTTAATCAAGAAACAGACTCAAAAAAGTAAAAGTCATGTTTACTTTTGGGTTTCTTTATAATGAATACAAAGATAAATTTTTCTATTGGGAAATGATTAGGCTTTTAGTAAAAAGTTTATTAGTTTTATTATCTGTCTCTTTGAAGGAATATCCTTAAGTAAGTCTTATAATGATATCCTTAATGCTATTTTCTTATTTTATAGCTCTTAAAAGTTATAATCCTTTGATTTCTTCATTTCTGAATAGCCTAGAAAAAATATCAATTGGTATTTCAATACTGTTACTACTGTCTTCGAATTTATACTTATAATAGGATTAAAGCCAAGAATCAGAAATTCAAAATTTTAGAACTGTGCTTTACATAACAGTTTAGATTATTAACCTTTTATTTTTCATTTTATGTGTCTGGCTAATTTTAACATCGTTTTTAGAAAAATAAATTTAAAAACTAAAAAAATATATCAAATGCAAGTGTGTTTAAAGAATTAGATCTACAGACAATATTAAAATTAATAAAAACATTAAAAAAATGATTTAGTGTGCTAAAAAAATTTAAATTAATTAACCAATAAATTCTTAATTATTCTTCGAAATGGAATGAAACTATTCTAGAAATATCAAGAAAAAATATTTTTTTATTAAAATAAACATATCTTTTTAATTCAATATTCTTATTATTATTATATATTTTTTATTTTCAAGTATACATTTATTTCAAATAATTATCTATTAGTCTATCTGAAATGATGGAGAGTACCATAAATTATCAAAAACTCTTTTCATATTATTAAAATTTAGATTAAAATTATCAGGATATAAAAAGTATTAAAAAGTAAAATTTGATTTTTAACTGAATCATAATATCTAATTAATTATGATAAATAAAAAAATGATAGAAATATAATTGATAATCATATTTAAGATTAAAATTTTTAAATTTTATATAAATAATTTATTTACTTACAAAAATATGAATGATATTAAAAATATAAAAACAATAATAAAATCTATCTAAATATAAAAAAACTTTTTCAAAATATAATATTATAAAATATTTAATATTCAATTATTCAAACATTCAATATTTATTCTTCATTTTTTCACCAGTTATTTATCAATAGAATTATTTTTTAAAGACAACTAATCTTTTTGATTTAAGACACTTGCTTATTACTTTGAATTTTTATGATAATTTCATGTGGCTAAGTATTTTATAATAATTTTGTGTAAATTTTAAATTAATATCAAATATAATAAAATTTTTAATTAAAAATTATTTCTTAAATTAATAAATAAATAAAATAACATTAGTGGGAAAAAAAATAAAAAAATAAATAAAATAAAAGCTATCAAATAAATTCAAAGAGATTTTTTGTTTTAATTAGTTTTTATAGTTTAAAATATCATAGTCCAAAACAAATAAACTGTTTACTCAAGGTAAAGTGTCAAATTTGAGAGATTAATGCAATGTGCTAAATCAGAACCTAAGCCTGATGCACCCATTGCACCAATTTAATTGCCACTTTTTAAATATTGAAGAAAAAAATATATCATTAAATAGTTAATTAGAATGAAAAAATATGAAATAATAAGATTAATTAATAATAAAAGCAAAAGCTGAAAATAAAATGATGAGTGAAATTAGCAAAGAAAGAACAAAATAAAAGCAAGCACAATAAAAAGAAAAAGAAAAAAGAGCTTTTTGTTTTTAATTAGTTTTTATAATTAAAAATATCACAATCTAAAAAAAATAAACTGCTTTTACAAAAGTTAAAGTGTCAAATTTGAGAGATTAATGCAATTTGCTAAACCAGAACCTAAGCCTGATGCACCCATTGCACCAATTAAATTGTCACTTTTTAAATATTGAAGAAAAAAATATATCATTAAATAGTTAATTAGAAGGAAAAATGAAGAAAAAATATGAAATAATAAGATTAATTAATTAACAATAAAAGCAAAAGCTGAAAATAAAATGATGAGTGAAATTAGCAAAGAAAGAACAAAATAAAAGCAAGCACAATAAAAAGAATAAGAAAAAGAGCTTTATTGTTTTTAATTAATTTTTATAATTAAAAATATCACAATCTAAAAAAAATAAACTGCTTTTACTAAAGTTAAAGTGTCAAATTTGAGAGATTAATGCAATTTGCTAAACCAGAACCTAAGCCTGATGCACCCGTTGCACCAATTTAATTGCCACTTTTTAAATATTGAAGAAAAAAATATTTCATTAAATAGTTAATTAGAAAGAAAAAATGAAGAAAAAATATGAAAGAATAAGATTAGTTAATTAATAATAAAAAAAAAGCTGAAAATAAAATTTTTATAATTAAAAATATGACAATGCAAAACAAACAAACTGTTTTTACCTAAGATCAAGTGTCAAATTTGAGAGATTAATGCACTTTGCTAAAGCAGAACTTAAGCCTGATGCGCCCATAGCACCAATTTAATTGTTACTTTTTAAATATTGAAGAAAAAATATATCATTAAATAGTTAATTAGAAAGAAAAAATGAAGAAAAAATATGAAAGAATAAGATTAGTTAATTAATAATAAAAGCAAAAGCTGAATATAAAATGATAAGTTAAATTAACAAAGAAAGAACAAAATAAAAGCAAGCACAATAAGCAGAAAAAGAAAAATGAGTTTTATTGTTTTTAATTAGTTTTTATAATTAAAAATATCACAATCTAAAAAAAATAAACTGCTTTTACTCAAGTTAAAGTGTCAAATTTGAGAGATTAATGCATTTTGCTAAACCAGAACCTAAGCCTGATGCACCTTTATCACCGATTAAATTGCCACTTTTTAAATATTGAAGAAAAAAATATATCATTAAATAGTTAATTAGAAGGAAAAAATGAAGAAAAAATATGGAATAATAAACTTTAGTGTTATAAATTAATTTTTGTAATTAAAGTATTACAATCAAAAACCAATAAACTGCTTTTATTAAATGTAAGTATTAATAGCAAAAATGAAAAAAAATATAAAATAATAAAAATGAATAATAAATAATTAAAAATTAAAATGAAAATTAAGTGAACATAGCTTAAAAATTAATAAATAATGATGATAATTTCTACAATAAAAATTATTTATTAAAAAAAATAAAAGTTAAATATAAAAAAAATATTAATAATAATAAAAATAATATTTTTAAATTAAATATACTTCAGATCAAGACAGAGAACCTAATGAGATAAAAGTGAAGAGTTTAAAAACTTTTTTTATTAAATTATTTAAATTTAAAGGATATTAATAAAAAAATTAATAATTACTTTTTCTAATTTATTGTAATATTTAATCTATTATATCATTTATCTTTTTTCAAAAGTATTGAATAGAAATTTATGGAATTTAATTAATTATAAATGGATAAAAAGAACAAATAAAATTTAATAATTAATTATCAAATATTAATTTTTAAATTTGGTCTTTTAAGATATCACAGAAAAATTAATTTAATATTCATTATTTAATCTTAATATTTGTATTTAAAACATATACTTAAAAATATAGTAGGAATGAGAGATGGCGAGTTATTTAGTCATATTTGAAAAAATTCTAGTAATTAATTAATTTTTTTAAATTTTATAAAAATAATGTTTATCAGTAGATTTTTCTGTTTTAGATTTGTAATTAATTATAGGAATATTTATAATATCTCTAATTATTCTCTAATCACATTAGTTTTTTTTTGCAAGCACATTTTATTTAGGTATATAGATTGCAGAGAAATAACAATCGGGGCTTTTTTAGATCAGTAGGCAGAAAAAACCTCTCTGCCTACTATTTTTTCGCCTTCTGAGTATTTCAGTCGGAGGGCTACTTTTTAAGACTTTTTAAAAAACAATTTTTAACAAATTTTTAATAAATTAGAAACTAATTCTGAAATTCCCTATTCGCCTATTGAATTACCTCTAACAATTTTTATGATATAACAAATTATAATTTTGAAAATAAAAATGTAAATTTTAAGCTTAAAAAACAACGAATTCGATCAATAGTTAAATATTAAAAAAAATAAATCAATAGAAATAAGTATATGAACAAAATATTTATAAAATTAACTTAAAAATTTAAAATTTTATTGTTTTCTAATTTTTAACTTTTTGATATAAATAAAACAAAAATATTAATTAACAATTTTTACTAGAGATGAAGTGTCAAATCTTAAAGTTTAGCACATTTTGATAAACTAGAACTTAAATCTTACATACCTTATTCACCAATTGAATTTCTCCTTTAATATATTTTAAGGTAATTTGAAAAAAAAGGACGTTGAAAATATTTTTAATTTAATAAAAGCTTAAATATAAATGAATAAATTTATTTATTAATTGAAATAAATAAAATAATACACAAAAAATATAGATTAGATTAACCATGTTTTCTTAATTTTTATTAAAATAATTAAATAAAATATTGAATTTTAACTAAAGATCAAGAATCAAAGTTTAGAGACAAGTGCATTTCACAAAACTTAAGCCTAAATCTGATACTCCCTGAGAACCAATATTATTGCAACTTTTATTAATATTTTAATCGTTTACATGAAGAAAATTTTAGAAATAAATAAATATTGATGAAAAAAAATATTTTGTAAAATAAATTTAAAATTGAAAAAATAAATAAATTAATAAGCTTAATAAATAATGAAAATTTTAAATATAATATTGCAAATAATAATAATGTTAAGTTTATTTTTACAATTTTGATTTTACTAAGAAATCACTGAAAAAAGTAAATAATATATTTTTACTAGAGGTTGAGTGTCAAATCTGTCAGGTTTAATAATTCATTTAAACTTTTACCTATGTCATGTGCACCCTATGATCCAATTAAATTACTTCTTTTTGTATATTTTAGAAAATTTATCAGTTTGGAGAATATGAAAAAATAAAATAAACAACAACAAAAAAATGTAAATAAAAGAAATAAAGATTATCAATAAAAATTAGTAATTAAAAATAGTGCTGAGAGAAATCAAAATTTTTAATTAGATAAATATTTTTTATTTATTGTTAAAATAAATTCTTTTTAATTTTGCAAATTCAAAAATTTAAGATTTTAAAAATATGAAAGCGAATCTAATTACAAAAATAAACCTAAATAAGCCAAAAATTTATTTTATTCTAGTGAGTTCGTATTCTTATTATCCTTTACATCCAATCTCTATTTCCTACTATTTTTAAATACACATTTAAATAGAAATAGTAAGATTTAATAACAAATGTTACACTAACTTTTTTTTGATTTCAAAGCAAATTTATAATGAATAAAATTTATTTGTTCTTTTTATCCACTCATAATTAATTAATTAATTAAGTTTCAATAGATTGCTATTCAATATGTTTGAAAAAAATAAATAAATGATATAATAGATTAAATATTACAAATTAGAAGAAGTAATTATTTATTTATTTTTTTATAAATGTATTATAAATTTATTTTTATGAATATAAATAGTTTTTAAACTCTTCACTTTAATCACATTAGGTTCTCCATATTGATCTGAAGTATTTTAATTTATAAATATTATTAATATCAATATTTTCTATATATTTAACTTTCAAATCATTTAAAATTTTACTTTTCAAATTGAAATTATCATCCTTATTCATATATTTTATATACAAATATTTTTTTATTTAGTTTAACTTAATTTTGTTATCCATTTTTTATTATTTGGTATTTTTATTCCAGTTTTCCTTCTAAAACTTAAAATTGATAAAAACAGTTTATTAGTTTTGGATTGTGATATTCTTATTTATTAAATTGAATTTAAAACAATAAAGCTCTTTAAATTTGTTTATTAGTTTTTATTTGATTTATTTTTATTGTTTTGTGTTTATTTTTATACTATCTTTCTTAATTTAACTCATTTTTTTATTTTCAACTTTTATTTTTATTATTTATTTATTAATTAATTTCTTATTATTTCATATTTTTTTCTTATAAATAAATTATTAATTATATATTTATTCTTCAATATTTAAAAAGTTAGAATTAAATTGATGCAATGGGTGCATCAGGCTTAGGTTTTGCTTTAGGAAATTGCACTAATCTCTCAAATTTGACACTTTATATTAAGTAAATTCAGTTTATTTGCTTTAGACAATGATATTTTACTAATAATGTTGTATTTAAAGCAATATACCTCTTTTAATTTTTATTAGCTTTTTATATGATTTACTTTTATTTTTCATTTTTATTGTATTTGTGTAAATCATTTTTTTATTTTCAATACTTGCTTTTATTATTTATTTATTAATTCATTTCTTATTATTTCATATTTTTTCCTTCTAAATAAATAACTAATTATTATATATTTATTCTTCAATATTTTAAAAGTTAGAATCAAATTGGTGATTAAGGGACATCAAGCTTAGTTTCCGGCTTAGAAAATTGCATTAATCTCTCAAATTTGACACTTGATCTTCGGTATATTCAGTTTATTTGTTTTGGATGGATTTCAATATTTTTACTTATAAAATTGAATTTAAAACAATATAGCTCATTTAATTTTTTTATAGCTTGTTATTTGATTTGATTTGCTTTTCTTTTTTATTGTACTTTGTTTATTTTTCTTTTATCATTCTTAATTTAACTCATTTTTTATTTTCAACATTTACTTTTATTATTTATAAATTTATTTCTTATTATTTCATATTATTTCTTCATTTTTTACTTCTAAAATCATAACTAATTAATTATAAATTTATTCTTCAATATTTTAAAAGTTATAATCAAATTGGTGATTAAGGTATATCAAACTTAGGTTCTGGCTTAGCAAATTGCACCAATCTCTCAAATTTGACACTTTATCTTATGTAAAAACAGTTTATTTGTTTTGGATTGTGTTATTTCTACTTATAAAATAGAATTCAAAACAATATATAGCTCTTTTAATTTCTTTATAGCTTGTTATTTAATTTGATTTGCTTTTCTTTTTTATTGGAGTTATGTTTATTTTTCTTCTATCTTTCTTAATTTAACTCATTTTTTTTATTTTC